ATATTTTTTATGAAGGAGCTTTTGTGTATGAACATCCAGAAACCCTTTAAGACATAAACATTCATGGCCACCTTTCTTTTGAAAGAGGAACATTTTTAGTGCTTAATTTTAAGGCAATGTGCATTTTAAAAATATACATTTATGACAAATTAATCCATTTGTTTATACTGAATATTTATATATTATACTTATCAAGCTATTTAAAAAGAAGATATGTTCTGCTTTTAAACCAGGGCACCCCTGTCAGGTCATATGGGATTTGGATACAAATATTTCCAATGCTCTCCATAACTCCTATCAGAGGGATATTAGCTTATATGATTAAGGAAACCCTGTCACTGTGCCAATTCAGGGCATTGTAACAGAAAGGCCAACCTCTGACCCAGTTATATTTGCTTTCACAGACCTCCCCTGCTGCTCCTTCTATAAAATACCAGGTGCTTCTATGTATGGGGTAGCATGTGACCCCCTCCAATGATGCAGTTTGTGGGCATAGCAGCTAATAGTTATGCCCAAACACTGTCACATGACAGAGGGGGTAAACATTGTCACATGACAGAGGGGGTAAACATTGTCACATGACAGAGGTGTTGAAGTCACCACTCTCCTGTAAGCTCTGACACCAGCCGACACCTGATAATTTTTGACAGTTGCACCAAGAAGGAGCTGCAGGGGTGCAATCTGAAGGTGAGCGAAAGTGGATTTGGGGTGGGCTTTAAAGATAGAGTTAGTCCTCCCAAAACTGATATTTCCGTGTTGGTAGATAGTAGAGAATGTTCCATAATGAGAAATTATGGGTTGAAAAGCTAAGAATTATAATTCCGTAGCAAAGTGTTAATTAGCAACGGAAGCTCCAGTACTGTGGTGTGAGGGTTCAACCCCCATCTTTGTGGACCTAGGCAAGAAGTCCATCTTGGCTCCATATATAAACTGCCCTGTGGACGTGCTTGCAATATTCCTCTAGTTAAAGTCAAGCTTCCTTAACAGAAATTTGGTGGCTGCAATTGACAGCAGTCACATAGCTGTTATGCTGATCATCTGGCTTCAGTACTTTCTGAGTCATTGACCTGTAACAGGTATTTGACACAGGAAAGTAAAAGAAATCAGAAGTCCTTATTTGCATACTTGTTCTGGGATATTGATGCAAAGTATTGTGGAAAGAGGGTCAACATGACAACTAGGTTACTAGCTAGTCCTGAATATAATAAAACAAAAACACTAGACATTCCCTTTAAATGGGGTGTCCTACAAACCTTATCTAAACATAAATACAAAAATGTAATATATTGCAGCTTAACAATCATTAGATAAGGTGTAGCTTTCATTTTTTCTAGGCTTTTTCCTTTATTTTCACTTGGTGATCCTTTGAATAACACACTTCTTCTCCTAGGGTGGCTACATTTGTTCTTCACCGTAGCCATGTCTTACATTGTTCATCTTCATTATATTACAACTAAAGAAGGATAAGATTGTTTTTACTGTCCATTACTGTCCACAAGAAGTGACAAGGACACAGCACTTCCAGCAAGATCAACACCTGATTTCTGTACTTGCTGAAAATGTTCTTAGCCTGAAAAATAAAATAACGAATGCAGCCACCATACGTGAGGATCAGTAGGCTGCAATATATTACATTCTTGTTTTTAGGTTTAGATGCTCATCAAGCTAAATCTTCAATCTTTCAATAGTTGTTTTAGATAAACATGTGAATGTAATCAGCTTAATTTTAACATTTCTATCAATGAGCCTTAAAATTGTAAGAACTGTGTAAAATTCCATGCTTGTGTCTATACAGCGTTCTTCCCCTAATAAAGTACTAAGCCCGGCATGCCCAAGGTGCTATTAAACCGTATGGAGCTGATTTAATAAATAAGTAGATATTTTTTTTAAATGAATGTTGAGCTTTGTGAATAAGGTTACATTTTAATTATCTGATCATGTGCAAGCATTTTTTTTTCTATTCCCGCTGCGCATGATTGGGCTTTTAAAGTAAATATTGCTTCAGGAAATTCCCTAGGCTAAGTAGATATTCTTTACTCCTTTGGTAAATCAATCTCCCATGACCAAGCATTGTTTTACTGAAAGAGTAGTGGGTGCTTGGAACAGCCTCTCAGGAGAAGTGATGAGTCAACCAACAGTTAGGGGTGGGTCACACTGCAATGCAGTTCGCTGCAATGCAATGCTTTGTCATGCGTAGACTTGCGCTCTGTTAAACAGCTTTTTCTAAATAAATGGGCTGAAATTCTCCACAGCACACAGTGAAATGTGAACAGGTTGTATTTTTCTTCAATGCAACACCCAGATGTAAAAAAAGAAAGAAAAAAAAAGGGCAGGCTTGATAGACCACTTAGTCTTTTTCCACCTCACTCTTCTATGTTTCTATAACATTGTTTAGCATTAGGAAAACAATGTTAATAATACATTTTATTGACTAAGTATATTAAATAATAACAATAATAATAATAATATTATTAATAATAATAATTAATAATAGCTTGCGACAGCTGAACAAGCATTGAGCCCCACGTCTACCTACAGTGCAATGATAAGCTCTAGCATTTGGAAACCCCTTTTTATAACAGGAATTGCAAAATCTATGTATAAGTGAGAGACAAATGTTCTCTTATCTACAGAGAAAACTAATATCAGCATCAAAATATAACATTGTAAGAAACAAGACTGTGTCACGTTCCAATGCTCTGAGGAGAAATCTACCAGTCTATGGCCGTCTTGTATCCGAGGCACTCACAAAAGCAATCCAACTGTTTTTTTTTACATACACATGTATGCTGTCCTACAAGCCTCTGTGCCTGAGTGCTCAACTCCATTAATTCATGCTGTCTTAAAAGAACAATAGTCAGCTGGAAAAATCCAACATGATTATGTAACTGTCCCCAAAATTCCTATTACAACATGGCTGGTTAATATGCACTTTTTTATATGTGTTTGACATTTTTGCTTTAGGTTTTCTATTTAATTTTTTTTTCTATTGGTTGAAGCCGACTAAGTATGTAATTATGTAACTATGTAAGTGCAATTTTTTACTTTCTTTTTAAGCACACAAGTACCAAGAATCTCATCTGCTTTGAACAAAAACTAAATCAATATCAATAACCATTTTAGAATACAGATACAAAATTTACCAATATTTAAAAAAAGAAATCCAAAGCTTAGTTTTTTTTCTTTGACTGACAAAAATAATGATATTCAATAATCTCCACAGTAAAAAATCTAAACTCAGCTAGCTTTATGGAAATTCAAATAACACGAAAAAAATAAAAATAATAAATTCTGAATTTAAAAAAAAATGTACAGCAACTAAAGATATAAGTAAAAAATGTATATGTACAATAGTCTGTAACTTTGACATTAGTGGAATGTGATGTTTACCTAGTCACTAATAATTGCTACAACCCAGCAAAAAAACAAAAAAACTAAAATAAAATATATCCAATATAAAAACCAACATATCTAATATAAACATTGTACCGCAGCATCGGGAATTAAGTTGTGTAAGAAAGCTGAAAATGTTGGAAAGGTGTAATTATTACTGAAGAGTAAAATAATTTAAACATAAATATGAAGATTTATATACAGAAATGGCAACTTGCAGATGCAAAGATTTCTCTGTATTTGAGATCCGCTCAGCAAACGTCAAATATTCAGAATTATGCTGTGTCACATTCAGTGCCATTAATTCTGTAGACATGGTCATAAGTGAAAGTATAAAGTAGTGTTAACAATAAAAAAAATGATCAACATTATCAGTGTCACGGCCTGCGTTTGCATAACGCGGCATGCGTAAGTGGCGACACTTTTAAATTCAGAAAATACGCAACAATCAGCAACCTCCCATCATGATAAATTCCATTCACAAGCAAACTTTTAACTGCTGTTGAACTACAAGTCCAAGCAGGCTGTCGGGCTACTCTGGGAAATGTAATTCCATAATAGATGAAAGGCAACTGACTGATGTTAACAGATCTCTCTAATTTTGTTAAAACTGATATACAAACTTAAATCAAAACCAGATATTCTATATACGATAATATGATGTACTTATAATTTAATATATATAAAAAAAAACTCACCTTTATCTGGATTCCAGCGGTCTAATTTGCCTGGGGTGGTTTAACCCTTTAATATCTTGTTTTCGCCCTCTGTTGTAGGGATTTTTGTACTATACTATACACACTGCTATCTAAAAAACGACTTTCACTACCTTTCAGTTTTTCTGTAGATTTAACTCTTTATGCTAATTGGATTCTTCATGTACTTCTTCTCTGTCTTGCATCTTCAGCCTTAAATGCCACTTTTGTCTAGTGATACATTAGTGTCCCTCCCGTCGCCCCGCCCTTGTTAAGAAAAAAAAGAAAAAAAGTTGTACAGTACAGAGGTTGGGTGGTGCAGCTAGTAATTCATATAACCCCCATCTTATCATCTCACACATTTCTCATCACAAATAAGAAATTGAGTAAAAGCTCTTGTGGTGTGTTTGATCCCCAAAAGTATTCTCAAACTACGATAATCAGGTAGATAATGATAGAAGCAGCTTAGATTTCTGTCAGACAAATTCTTCCGCTTAATTTCGGCACAAGATAAAAACTTTTTATACAATGAGTTTGATTCATTTCTAAAGAAATCGGTGTGTTTGGTGATAGGAAGGCTCAATGAGAGTCAGGTTTAAGTTCTTGGCAGGTATGGGCAGGCCGAATCGCATACGTTTGTGGTGTTCTTTTACGTGTTCCCAGCTCCCCCTACCTGCTGCAGCCATCGCGAGGGGTCTCATTGTGCCTATTATATATATTTTTTATGAAGGATGTAGCACAAGGGTCTTGTTCCATCTACCAACACATCACCATTCATTCACAGCTTCAGATCAAATAAACCTTTAGAGCAGGGGGTGGGCAAACTCCGGCCCTCCAGCGGTTGTGGTACTACAAATCCCATGAGGCATTGCAAGATTCATACAGCCACAGGCATGACTCCCAGAGACAGATGCATCATGGGATTTGTAGATTCACCACCGCTGGAGGGCCGGAGTTTGCCCACCCCTGCTTTAGAGGATGGTAGCAGAGCAGCTGTAGTTAAAGTCAGTACAAAGCTAAAGCAGAACTCCAGCCAAAAGATAAAAATAAACAGCCTATTAAAATAATAAAATGACTCGACCAGTTTTGGCTGCAATATTCATTTTCAATCCAGAGCTCTCCCCCGTGGTACTTTTTCTCTGCCATTAGATGGCCTTGTTCTTATGGTCAGCATCATTCAACGCACTTTCTCTGAGCCAAGGTCATCCTGGACCCGCCCCAAGCCTGTGATTGGACAGTGACAGGAGAGGCAGCACAGTGATGAGCTCATCTCTCTGTCACACTGCTCACTTCTCCTATCAGCATGCTCCTTGTCACCACATTAACTGGTTGGCTCAGTTTACTGCTTCCTCCTCTCACACTTCAGCCCTGCTGTACCTGGACTGCAAGAGGCTTTTACCAGGTCAAATTCAGGTATGGACACTACTTGAATAGAAAAATATTAATGATGCATTAATGGCTATAGAGCTGCATTATTTTGTGCCTTTATATTTGGCTAGAGTTCTGCTTTAATTGACATACTGTGTGGCTCTGGAGTAAAAAAGTTCAAAGCTGAACAAAAGACGTACATTTTTGGGTTTCTAGACAAGTGGAGGGCTGAATATTACCCTCTCAATAAGAAGGACATTGTTAGTGGATAATGTCAAAGGTTCCATGTGGCTGTTGCCTCAGGCGGCATCTCATGGGGGGTTGGCAGGCAAAGTGGCATGGCCGATCTGCTGCACAATGTTTGCAGTGTGCCTGCCGCCCCTTTTCCAGTCAGAACGTCCCAGGTTGCTATGTGTAAGGGCCACAGACATCTTCCCACCCAGCTCTTAGCAGCCTAGGACACTCTAGCCGGCGTCCCGCCAAACTCCAGGCAACGAATAAAATTTAAAAGCGAGGGACGGACCTGTTTCCAATACGTTTCACTATAATTGTTTGTAGCAAACTATTCTAAAAGATTGTTTCTAAATAAAGAACATATGTAGCGGCATCCAAGACATTCTTAAAGGAGAACTATGGGGTTAAGTCTTTTCCCCATAGTTCTCCTTAGGGTAACGGGAGGACACAAACTAGCGTCCTCCCGTCACCCTAGACTAAGTATACAGCAAGCTGTAGCTCGCTGTATACTGAGACGCCGCAGTATACCGTGAGCAGCTGCTCGCGGTATACTGAGACGCCGCAGCTGAAGCGGGTCCAGACAATTGTGCCGGGATCCGCCCAGCTGCGTGACTGACAGCTGGCTCTGCCTATCTAGAGGCAGAGCCAGCTGTGCCCGCCCCCTCCCCCGTCCGTTCCGCCAGTCAGCGCTGGAGGAGCGGGGAGGGGGGAATCCAGCCCCTCCCCTGTCACGGCAGAGAGCCGTGACAGGATCGAGAGGTGAGCGAACGCCGGTATATGTTCGCTCACATCACGATCTACTGAGCCGACCTGTGACAGTCTCATTGTCACAGGTCGGCTAGAACTGTGAGGTGAGTGAAAAGCACTCACCTCATACTTCTCTTTTAAGGACTGTGTGGAAGATTCTATTATACTATAGAATGCAACCTCTAAAATAGTGACTATAGACTTGTAGTCAGACAAGTTGCCGGAATCTACTTTTTTTATTACTGTGCAGTGTGTGACAGAAGGAAAAGGTTCATAAGAGAATAAGTTATAATAAATGTTATGTTGCCTGTCTTACTCAAACCTGGCATTTCTAAAATATGATTCCGGCTTTTGATGACATCTGCAGAAATCTTTATATGCCAGTTATGAAAATATAGGCAGAGCTCTCAGGGAACACAAGGAGAAAGGAATTAATTAAATAAATAATTGTAAACTTGCTTGACTTCCCAGCTACGGTATGATAAAAGTGCCTTTGTTTTGAAAATCTTTCTGCCCGTGGCATAATATACAGGTGAAACTTGAATAATTAGAATATCGTGCAAAGTTCATTTATTTCACTAATGCAACTTAAAAGGTGAAACTAATATATAAGATAGACTCATTACATGCAAAGCAAGATAATTCAAGCCGTGATTTGTCATCATTGTGATGATTATGGCTTACAACTCATGAAAACCCCAAGAACCCCAAATCCACAACCTCAAAAAAGTAGATTATTACATGCAATCAATAAAACAAGGATTGTACATAGAACAATATCGGACCTCTGAAAAGTACAAGCATGCATATGTACTCAGTACTTGGTTTGGGCCTCTTTTGCAGCAATTACTGCAATTACTTTTGCACGATATTCTAATTATTCGAGTTTCATCTGTATATCATAGAGCACTGCGTCTTTAATGTGCTCAGGAATCACTTGGAAAACCTACTGATACCACAACTTCTGTCCTACTGAACAGAAACAATGCCATCCGTCTCACCAGGGGATGAATACAACAATAATGTTTTCATCAAGATTATGTCAAACAGACTCTGGCTGTATTGGTACTAGGATTATCTTTTTAAAATGCCTGAAAGATGATCGGTGTTGCCCATACCAACCACATTACAAATATTTTTCCAGAGCAGCTTTAGAAATAAATGGCTGAACCTTGTGGTTACGATGGCAGATCGTGTAATTTTTTTTAGACACTGATCAATATTACCTGAAGTTTTAGAAGGAAGGAAGGGGCGTTCTGTGGTCCAGAAGAGGAGAGCTCAGGCAGCGCTGACAACACTACTTGGGATTTTAGTGCAGCAGTGGCAGTGTTGTCAGTTCACTACAGGAAATTAGGAGCTCACCGAATTTTTGTCAGAATCAGCAGGTATATCCCTGTATTTCCAGCATTTTTAAAGAGAAATGCGAATGTATTGCAGAGATATACTAACAGGGTTATTCACAAAAGGGTGAAGAGTTTGGAGAAGGCAGGAGAAGTGAACAATCTAGGCCAAAATAGCTGATTTTGAATGTGAGCTGAATTGGAGAATTTTTCCAAATCAGCTAATCTGGTCTAGATTGTTCACTTCTCCTGCCTTCTCC